TATAGAAAACAATGAGTGACTGCTAGATAAACAAACCTGGTGAGCAACTTGTGCAAGAGTCTTCACCAGTGTTATTGTTGAAGGACCCAGGAGGGCAAGGGCGACATAATGGACTTCCAGTGAAACTGAAGTGGATACAGCATATGAAAAAATTATTAGTGATGTAAACTCTGGATTTCTATTTAAAAAGAGAGAAAAAAAAGTGAAGTTTGAATTTGCTGGAGCAAAATTAGTCTTTACTTGGTGTAGAAGCCCCGGCTGCAAGGTAGACACTGCTGCTGCCCAGCTAGTGGCTGGTAAAATCCTCTGGTGCATGGCAGGCACGCGCCAGGAAATACACACCGCCCTGAGTCAGGACAGCACGTGCACAGAAGGGTGTCTGTGGGATTGACAAAAAGTTGATTTTACTCTTCATTTTTGCTACTTTAATATCATACAGATTATTTTAATATCAACAAAAGCAAAGCCAGGTACTTAACAGAAAGGACATTAAATATAGCATATTTATAAATATCATAAAATAAAGACATGGCAGATGATAGTCACTGACTCACTGTTGTCGTACTGTGACCCTGGTGCACATGGCTCACAAGCAGAAAGGTTAAAAGTGAAGCAGCCTGAGGTGGTGCTGCTGAAAATCACGGGTGTCGGAGTCAGACTGGTCACATTTTCGATCAGAGTGGTATCTGTCACAGCAGGAGTAAGTGTGGTCTGGCTCACCACTAAGCCTGAGAAGGAAGGACACAATGGTATATATGCGGTCAGCTGTCTTAAAAAGGTTCAAAAGTACCTAAATGTAGCGAAAAGGTTATGGCTCGAGTGCATAAAAGCAAAAATATGTGGTATAATCACTAATAATTAATACAAACAGTGCAAGCAAACATTTTGGGGGACCCTCCTGCATACCTTTTCTTTGAATGTTTTCGTTTATTTATTAGTATTGCAAATAATAACCATGATTTTAACTCCTGTCTCCCTGCATCTCTCCATGATTCAGTCTCCTGCTTTGAAATGTTGCTGTGGACTGAGGTTGAACCCTCACGTCCCTCCTCCCTAGACACGCACTGAGCACAGCCTCAGGGACACAACAGAAGTATGAAAAATAAATGTTAGCAAGTGGATGAGTGACCTGAGAGCCAACCTTGCTGCATTGCCTTTATTAAAAGAGGAAGAACTTTTTCAATCAACTATAGCTGAAGGATTTTACAAAAAGTTTATCCAACAGGGAAAGAAAGAAAAAAAAAAGGTGGCTGCAAAAGGTATAGGCACATCAGCAAAACAGAGCCCATATTGTGGTAGTAATCACATAAGCCTTGCGCTTAACTGCTTTCTTGAATAGGAGCCATCCTCCTCATGAAATGCAATTATTCAGAAAGGGGTCATATGATTTCTCAGCTCTCAGCTCCTCTGGGTTGGCAGCAGTTCTCTCCCAAATAGATGTGCTTCTTGAATTACAAGTCAGGGAGTATGTAAAAACGGATAAAATTATATTAACAGAAATACAAGAGCAATAAGTACCACGGAAATACAGTGAGCCAGTGTATTAATTTCATTATGGTGTCCTGGTGCAAAGAAAAGTGTGTGTAATAAAGTTTTGCTTTGAACAAAGTCTGAATTACATGATGCAACAACATTAGAACTGATTCTACTGTTTCTATACTTTCAATAACAAAACATCGGCACTTTTCAGTAGTGAATTAACCTAAGGTGACTTTATGCTTTTTTTCATACTATACAGTAAATCTCTGTATTAGACCCTTGGTTTATAGCATTACCGCCGCCGTTTCGTTAACGGTACAAGCCACTCCACTTACCTATAAAACAAGCGGCGGCGATCGCAGCCAGAACTCCCCGACAGTCCATGCTCCAGATTACCGACTGCAGCCACCAAACAATGCTTGTCTACAGCATCTCATCTCTTAAATGTGGCAGCGTTTCCTTTGTTTTCATAGAGTACGCTGTCAGGGGAATCAGCCCACTCATCAGTGTCATATGACAAAAAGGCATCATGTGATTTTGGTTTAGAGAGAAAAAAACGAGAAAAATGGGCTCAATTCAAGACAGATCTGGTGTAGTTACAAGGAACAACCAACAGGGACACCACCGCCTTATTAAAACACCATGCATTAGGCTCAGAGTTGCTCCCGATCTGCAGGTGAAGCGATTCAAACTAGGTCCAAGCAGTAAAACGAATTTATCATGAAAATTACTTAAAAAAAAAATCATATCATTAATATACTTTATGTTGCTTTGTTCTAAATATAGAATATCGCTGAGAAATGTTATTGTATATTGTTCAATTCTTGTGTCTATGCTTGCAGTAGTTCTCTTTTTTGTTGTTGTGGATATTCCCAAAAGATATGATACTTGACTTGACTCTTGGTATTTATTTAGTACAGTAAATTGGTAGCAAGACACAGAAAGCCACAGAAAACAGTATTGCTTAGGGGAAGGGAAACATTCCTCATCAGTCACGGTTGAAGGCTCGCTTCCTTTTTTCATGTTACGTACAGACGTGAGTTTCGATAACTTTGGCAGTAATTGAAACAAAAAATAAAAAAAAGTCGTAATATCTACTCGACTGTTGCAGAAAACCAAGCAGCGATCAACATCAGTACATAAGTACAACTTCAAATGACTGCACATGTTATCCACACGTGTGTTTTATTAAATTAAACAGTCATAAGATTGCAGTGCCTGATAAACACATTTATAGCTTGAGTCAAGAAAAATTCTCTACAAGGCGGGTTAAGCTCTGCTCCAGCTCCTCCCAGCTTTTCACACTCGCCTGGCAAAAGGAGAAACAGTGAAAGGAGTTATGGATACGTTTTATTTCTTCTTTCATTTCTTCTTTGTTGTGGACTTTAAAATTACCTCGCTGTGTGTCCCTGTGTGTCCTCTCCTCTGTTCAGGGGCTTTGACCTTGCTTTCAGTTTGCTTGAGCTTTTGACGTTCTTGCTTTTTCTCTTCAAGCATCTTCTTCAGAGCTAAAACCGTCTCATCCTGAGCCACCACCTGCTGAATGAATTCCTTCTCGGCTTTCCTCTCCTCTTTCCTGCCACATGGCAAAACTAGCATCAGTACATACACATGTGCACATTTCTGGGTTTGAGTATTTTTGTTTGCTACTTTCCTGACCTGATGGCCGTAGCTTGTGCCAGGACGCTGCTGTGGAAGTTGATGGCATCCAGCTTCTCCATCAGCTGCTGCTTCTGTTTCTGCTTCTCCTCCAGGATGAGCTTCCGTTTCTCCTCCTGCTCTGCTTGCTGCTTGTTCTTCAGATGGGCCAGCCGCTCCTTCGTCTCATACAGCGACATTTCTCCCAGCAGCTCATGGCCTACAGTCTGACATGGGATTAGATAACTGTGACACAGAGATCGATAACAGCATCTCAGTATAAGATACAGCACTGTGCAAAAGTCTTGATCCACATTGAAACCACTTTTTCTTTTTGCATAGTACTGTAGCTTTCCTTCACTTACGTCTGTGTCATCAAATTTCTTGAATTTCATGCGAGGAAGCGACTCAATGCAGTGAATTTCTCGGATGACTTCAAATTTGCGGCTCATCTCTGCCTCTGCTTCCTCCAGTGCTTGACGAAGCAGCTCCTGGTTCTGTTCGGAGACTTCTTTCACTGTGAAATTTGTCATGACATTGATGTGAACAGCAAAAAGAAACACGTGAAATGCCCCGTTTGACAAGCTGCTTGAGGACGCGCACCTATGCTTTGCTTCAGCTTCTGTAACTTCTCTTTAGCTGCCTTTGAATTCTTGTGGCCATCTGCCACTTGTTGCACCAGATCCTTTATTTCCTTTTCCTCTTGCAACCTTTTCTCAGCATATCTTTGCATCAGCTGAGCGGTCTAGAAAAAGCAAACAAGCCATAAAGAAGACGACAACAAGTTTAGTCCTCTGTGAATTTCTTTTATTTATTAGTTGCAACTTGGTTTTTACCTACCTCTTCTTTCTTCAGCTGCGCAGCCTTCTGATTGCGCTCCATTATACGTTTGCGGGCCAGAGCTGCCTCCTGTTCACTGATGCATGCCTCCAGGTGTCGGCGCTCAATCTTGGGCAACTGCTCCTGAAGATCCTTCTCACGCATCTCCTTTTGCCACTGCAGGAAAGATGAAGGATCGCTCTCACCTTGCACCAGCCGGTCAATTCTGTATTAAAAACAGACGCACAAAGGACGCAACTTTTCATGTGTTTGATTTGCACTTCATCCTCGTGGAGCACTATGCAGACGCCTTGGAAAAGGTAAAAGTAGCAGGTAAAAGCTGTGCTGTACCTTTGGACCTCCTCCTCCACCCAACGCTTATACAGTGCCTCCTTCCTTAGAATAGCTGCATTGTTGAGTTTGATCGGATAGCTGACAGCCTTAAAAAATACACACATGACAGCAGATATTACACCAACATTAGGCTATCTAGAAACAGGCAGAGTACTTAGGACTTACCTTATTACTGGAAGGAGCTCCACGGGAATGAAAGGAATTAGGCTTGAGCCTTGAATCCAAGTCTTCCTCAATCTTGGACATCACTCTCTGTGGAACAAGTATGAGATGGTGTTGAAGCCAACAGAATACAAGCCCACCCTCACACACACACACACACACAGACACACACATACACACCATTGTGTGCTCAGACTTCTGTGGATTTCCACATCTGAACTGTTTGATATTCGCTTCATACAGAAGCTCCTTTGGTGGAAAACAGATAAGCGAACATTTTAATGGCAGTATATGTAATTGAATTTAAAAGTATAAAAAATTTGGATAATATCTACTATTATCGAACTTAAATGTGCCAGCTGCCGTTTAACTGTTAAACATATCTTCTTTTGTATTAGATTCATTGTACCTGAGCCTTTTGATGGTTCTTCTGTTTATTCTCCTCAATTATCTGCTTCTCCTTTGGAGCCTTGTAGGTGCTGCTTGGTACCTGCATGACAAACAAGAGTGACGCACCAGCCTCTACACAGTTTACAGCTTACATTCTCTTTAAGGATTGAGGACATGAAAAGTTCTCAAAGTAAAGGACTTTATGTAACTGATACTGACTGGTTTGCATTTCTTCTGCTGTGGGATGAGCTCGGGCATGGGTAGAGGCCGTGGTTTAGGTTCGGTGAGGGCGAACTCCTGGGGCTCAGTGGTTTTGGTTGCAGCTTTCTTGAGCAGATTCCCTTGAGAGATCTTGACTGCAAGCTGGTCCATGAGAATATCTATCTCAGGGCGCCACCTAAAGGACACACATGCAAACATTTGGGTTGTCTGAATTTGAAATGCTCTGCTCACAAAACGACCTCCACTGGCATACTTGTGCACATTTCTGACCAGACTGTGTGGAAACAGACTCAATGATCAATGGCATGAGCACCCCTTGGTGCCCTATTCTCTTGCATGTTCACACTGAGCCTATGTGACAGGAATGAAAGAGTCTACAGACAATGTGACGAACTTCATGTGACTTCAGCGTCAAATCAATCACTGAATACAGCCCTCAAAGGATTAAAAATTTTGTTTGCTACTGACTGCTGTCATGTCTTTTTGTTGTCAGTGAATTACACAATGTGTAGATTTAAGTTTTTCCTTCATTTTTTGA